ATACCTGGCAGGGGAGATAGCGTGATCACGAAGGTGCTTTCCCAGCGCGAGGCTCCTCCTCCGCTCCCGATGTGCCATTTCCCCAAGTGTGAGAAACTCGATGCATTAACTTCTGGCAGTGGGGGATGGCATTCAAGCCTTCCTTAAAAAAAATAAATAAAATTTTTTTAAAAAATCTATCCTTGAGGAAGTACAGCAAGAAAGCTCCTTAGAAACGAGGCTATAAATACTGTCTCGCAGACTTTGGGCATGTTATTGGGAAGAACCAGCCCCTGGAGAAGCAGCTCACTGCTTGGTAAAGCACAGGGTCCGTGAAGGAGAGGAAGGCGCTCCAGGAGAGGGTGGCACAGTGCCTACAACAATGACTCGAGTACAGCACCAATGCTGAGGGTGGCACAGGGCCTGCCGGGCGGTGACGTGCTGTGTCAGAGACGAGATCACTACGAGTCAGAATCAACTCAATGGTCCTCAACAACACCTGGGATATCAAAATATATGTGCCAGAGTTAACTTTCTTCACCTTCTATAATTTCTTTCAAACATTCTTCTAGGTGGTATAGCACTGGTCTGTCTATTTGCTGTACAGAGGTAACTCATGGTTGCTGTGATGCTGAACACTGTGACACTGATGTGTCAAACACGATAATGGTTACCCATGGTGGACAGTGTTTGCTGGAGCTCCCCAATTAAAACAAGCTTAGAAGCAGGAGTGGCATCCACTTCCGAAATAGCTTGCCTCCAGAAACTCTATGAACTTGGAAAAACAATGAAAGTTATACAAATGTTCAAGTCTTTCATTCATAAGGTCACTACAACTTGATGGCACTTATTTCTTCTGCTTTTCTTCCCCTACTAACTAATTGTTATCCCTACAAGGATTCTGAGGCTTTGTCTGACATACTTTGGACATGTTGCAAGGAGAGCCAATCCTTGGAAAGGGCCATTATGCTTGGGAGGGTGGAGGGACAGTGCAAGGGAGGAAGACCCTGGATGAAATGGATTGATTCAGTGACTGGGGCAAGGGGGGTAGGTGTATCAAAGACAATAAGTTTGGCACAGGACAGAGCAGGGTGTGGGCTATTGGGTCACTATGAGTCATAAGCGACTCGATAGCACATAACAACAACAATCCCTACATCATCATTATACTCATGTAAAACCTAGATCTAGACCAAGAAGCAGTTGTGCAAAGAGAACAAGGAATCACTGCATGGCTTAAAATTACGAAGGGTGTGTGTCAGGGCTGTCCTTTCTCCATGCCTATTCAATCTGCATACCGAGCAAATCATTCAAAAAATTGAACTATATGAAGAAGGAGATGAGAGGATATGCAGATGATACAACTTTGCTTGATGACTTGAAGCACTTAAAGATTTAAAAAAAAACACCCAACCTACCGCCTTCATTGTGGATTACAGCTATATAAATCAAGAAAACAAAAATCCTCACCACTGAACAATTAGAAAACATTATGAGTGATGAAGAAAAGATTGAAGTTGTCAACAATTTTCTTTTACTTGGATCCACAAACAACATCCAGATCCAGCATGGCAACAGTCAAGAAATCAAAAGACATGTTGCCCTGGGGAAATCTACTGTCAAAGATTATCTTAAAAAAAAAAGATATCTTTTAAATGCTAAAGATCAGGGATATCATTTTGAAGACTAAGGTGCATCTGATCCAAACCACAGCATTTTGAATTGCCATTTTCTTTTAACCATTTATTGTTTACCACATATGAGGGTCAGTGCTAAATGATTTAACAACTCTTGTCTCCTGTGTTCCCTACAGCTGTCCTATGATGCGGATTGTGTTCAATTCCCACTTTAGAGGTGACAGCGGTTAGGACAAAGAGAACTAAAACACTGCCCAAGGTCGCCAGGTCCCAGGACAGGTTCAGATCCACCCTCAGATCAGCTCACCCCAAAATGTGCAAATTCATCAGGCGGCGACGCCTCTCAGGCAGGAGGGTGCTCGCTGGGATTCTTGGAGGGGTTTATGGATTCTTGAGGCATTTACAGACAGCGCTGGAGCCCATGGATACATGTGCCTGCTTGTGCAGGAGTGAGCACATGCAGACGTGGGCACGTACAGGTGTGCATGTGTGAAGGCATGGGTGAGTGCAGATGGGAACACATGCAGGTGTGCCTTCTCATGCAGGAGTGAGCACATGCAGACCTGGGCACGTACAGGTGTGCCTTCTCATGCAGGAGTGAGCACATGCAGACGTGGGCATGCACAGGTGTGCATGTGTGCAGGCGTGGATGTGTACAGATGTGGGCACATGCAGGTGTGCCTCCTCATGCAGGAGTGAGCACATGCAGACGTGGGCACATACAGGTGTGCATGTGTGCAGGCGTGGATGCGTACAGACGTGGGCACATGCAGGTGTGCCTTCTCATGCAGGAGTGAGCACATGCAGACATGGGCACGCACAGGTGTGCATGTGTGCAGGCGTGGATGCGTACAGACGTGGGTACGCACAGGTGTGCATGTGTGCAGGCGTGGATGCGTACAGACATGGGCACATGCAGGAAACCCATCGTCACTGCTCAGGTAGATTCTACCAGGCTACTGGGTCTCTGGTTCAGGCCAGCAGCCCAGCCCAGCTGGCCTGAAGGCAGAGCTGTCACACACTGGTTGTACACTGTTTGATCTCAGTCCTCCAGAGCTGGAGCAACCCTCAGGGTACACTAAGCCCCACAGCTCCACATATGGTCAGCAGTCAGGGCTGCCCAAATCAACACCCTAGTCTCTACTCACACCCCAACACTCCCAGGCTGCCTAAGGGGCCACCTCAGCACTGGGAGCCCCTTCTTCTCCCTGTTTTCAGGTCCAGCTGGTGACCATGACCTTGGAGGGCACACTTCCTCCCAGAGGTCTTGCTGGGGGCCTTGTGTGACTGAGATAAAAGCCCAGAAAAGGAGGAGGCAGGCAGCTGAGTGGCCGCGATGGGTCTAGGTTTCCTGTGATAGCGGGGCTGGACCAGGATGCACAGAGGGGTTGATTGGCTGTGCTCAGGTCACCCTGCTTCTACTGACTCGGGGTGCCCCTCCATCTGGGCCTGTCAAGAGAGAGCCTCAGTGTCCTTGTTTCCACACCCAGGACAATGAGGTTTTTGAGAGGACTGAGAAGTGGTATTCAGGAGTTAAAAGAGCTTTTCCATCAAGCACCCAGAGAGGACAGTGCTGTGACCCAGAGTTTTTCAGGGGAGGAGGAGGAGGCAGGTTTCCAAGGTGCTGGGAAGCTGGAGGGCGCCGGCCCTGGTAGAGACCATGGGAGAACAGGAAGGTGGGTGGAAGTCTCAGGCAGGCTGAGTGAGCCTTCTGCCTGGTGCCCCATCCACAGGACATCACCCCCACCCCTCCAGCCCCTTGGGCCTCCCAGACTCACCCTCAGTCCTCACACCCAGTGGCTATGCCTTAACCTCTAGGAGCTCTGGTGCCCTAGGGATAAGAAACTGCAATGCAGTCCCAAAGGCATGTGGTTTGAATCCACCAGCTGCTCTGCAGAAGGGTGGGCAGTTTCCTTCAATTAACTGCCTTTGAAAACCTGCTGGAGGGTCAGCTGTGGGTCGGTTCTAACTCCATGGTACACAACAAGAATGCCTAGACCTCCGTCCCACTGCCCCTCCCCTACTCAGTCCACCCCGTACCTCTGGCTCACCCCACACAATTTCATCTGACCTGTCCCTGTCCTACTTATTATAGGCCTTCCAAGGTCAGAGGGGCCCACACAAGATAAAACAGAAGCTACTTATGAAAGAATTTTTCTTTTACTTTTCAAAGAGAAGAGTGTACTGGGAGAAGGGGTGGGCAGGGAGAAAAGTGCAACAATGAATGAATGGAAATCCAAAATCTCTGTAAATGTTCATTGAAATTAATAATGATAAAAAAGATAATATAAACACCCCAAAAAAAAACCCCAACAAACCTAAAGCCACTTACAGGGCCCGACCTCCCAGGTGTACATCTCAAGAGGCCTTTCCTGACCTTCCCCTCAGCCACAGCGACCTCGGCCAGCCCCAGCCAGCTCTGCACACAGAGCGTGAGACAAAGATCCTGTCCCTGTCTGCTCGGGGCTGCAGTCTGAGGCCTGGAGACCTTAGCACCGTGCCTGGCGCCAGTGAATGCCCCTCAAGTGTCACCACTGTCAGTCTGCACCCTCAGCCGTGCTGGTCTAGCCAGGACCTGGGCGAGCAGGTGTCGTCATTGCTGCTGGCTACATGTACATGGCCACCAGGAGGCAGGGCAGGGTCTGTGGGCCACGATGGCCTTCACCTAAGTCACACCTACCCCTGTCATCTTCTCTCTTCCACAGCTCACCTGCCCGGGAGCCCTCCTGGACTGAACTGTAGGAATCCTTCCTACCACTCAGGGGTCAGGCACTCAGACATCGGGGCAGAAGGTGCTTCAGGAAAGAATTCAACAGTTAAAGGATGGAGTGGGACTGGGGTGTCAGGGGCTCCTCCAGGGGAGAAGATGCTTCAGGGAGGGGTTCAGTTAAAGGACAGAGTGGGGCTCAGCTCAGGAAAGAGGGTTCTAAAGACAAGGCTCTGGCACAGGGTTTGGGGGGCTCAGTGAGACTGGCCGGCTCCTGAGACCACATGCAGGTTGTGGGTTTTCTAGGAGCTGGCATCCACCACAAGCCCTTTCCCTTGCTCTTCAGGCCACCAGCTCATTCCCAGCTTCCTGATAGATGTTTCATAATACCACCTTCCAGAAACTTCCATGACTATTCTCTTACTTAAATCTGGGTTCCTTCTGCCTCCCTCCTCTGACCACTGCCCTCGGAGCTCAGCTCAGTCTGACTGTGTCACAAAGCCTGGCCCCCAGCAAAGCAGCAAATCAGAAACAAGGACCCAGGCTTGAATCACAAGTGTTTATTTGGCCAAGGTTCCAATTGGGTGGCCCCGCTGGGGGTGAGCAGGGGCCTCCTGCCCAGAGTTGAGCAGGTAAGATAAGGAGAGGGGAGAGGGAGCATGTCTGGGCCTCGGGCCTCAGAGCTGCGAGAGGATGTTGGGAGCCAGGCTGCAGGTCAGGCCTGTGCCATCCGGCTCCACGTTCAGGGTCTTCACCACACCATCGTCGATCACCATGGAGAACCTACCAGAAAGAGGGGCCAGATGAGTGAGGTCAGCCTAGGCCTGGAGGCTGGGAGTGGACACTGAGCGGGTGGCGGGAGTCAAGGCCCCAGGGAATCCTGCTTTCACCTCTTGAGTCTTCGGTTCCCAAAGAGAGACACCAATGAATCATCTAAGAGCAAATCCGTCTCCTGGAGGGAGGGGCAGAAGTAAGGGTCAGGAAGGCGCAGAATGGGCCCAGGCCCCACCCCTTTAAGCTTCTGCTTCTAGGCTGGCAAGGAACCCACACCGTAGTGAACTGGGACTCACCTTCCCAAAGGCTCCAGTGGGGTCAGCCAAGAGTCGAACCTGAGAACAGAGAAAGCAAAGGTCATCAGGAGAATCACCTGCGTGGACACCCCGAGGATGGATGCCCCTGAGGATGGTGGGACCTGCGTCTCACCTTGCCTTCTGCGTGGTGGGCCTTCCCCCATTCGTTAGTCACAAAGACGTCGTTGACACTCAGGCAGGCCACCACCTGGGCTCCCTTCGCCTTCAGTGCCTCGGCCTGCTCCACAAACCCTGGCAGGTGGGACTGGGAGGGAAATCAAAGGGTTAACAAGAAGCTGGTCGCTCCCTGGCCCTTCCCTAGTCTCCAGCCTCTCCTCACTTCTCTGCTTTAACTCGTTTAATTAATGAGACTTGAATAAGCCATTTATTTTCTTTTTTTGCTCTGGCCACTAGGTAGCTCAGACCTAAACTTAACACCCTAAAGACTGCAACTGTCCCTTAGGAGGCTTTTTAAGCACTGAGTCCCCACTGCCTTCCACAGGGCCCGCTGCACACAAGGGTCAACAAGAGTTGTTGAATTTAACTGCAATAATCCTTTCTCCAGCACACCTGGTACTGTTATGTTTTTATAGCCTCTTTCTTACTTACTTTACAGCCTCTATATATTTTTGTTGCAAACTGCCTCTGGGCTTTAGAAAGACATCTGCAGGACTTACTAGCAATGAAAACAGGAATAAAAGACAATTCCTGAGCCCCAGAGGCTGCTGAGCCTCACCTTGGAGCAGCCAGGAGTAAAGGCTCCAGGAACGCCGAACAGCACCCCCTTCTTGCCCTTGAACAGCTCCGCCAGGTTCACCTTCTTTCCAGGCTCACCTTCAAACACCACCACCGAGGGGAGGGTGTCTCCCACCTGGAAGGAAAGGCTCAAAGGTCAGGGGACTGGAGGCCAAGGGAACTGACCTGAGGGCCTGAGGGCTGGGCCAGGAGACAAGCCCTGGAAAGTCTAGTCCTGGCGGTTTCTACGGGTCCCTCCCTTCTGCCCTCCCCCACCCTGCTCCCCCACAGTGTTACCCCACATCCTCTTGGCTCTAGACTGCCAGCCTTTCCTAAGGGCCTGCTGGTTACACCGGAGTAGGGAGGGAAGGCAACCCCAGGTGTCGCAAGGAGGTGAGTAAACAAGCTGCCTGAGTTATGGGAACTGAGTGGGATAAATGGGGGATGCGGAGAGGCAGGGGTCTGATGACAAGGAGAGACAGCCTAGCCAAGTTTCAGTGGCCCGCTCAAGCTCATCAAGGAGAAAGCAAGGGGGTATCCAAGAACCCACTGAAGAGATGGACATTAAATGAAGACATTTTGAAAAGGCTTCGGAAGGCAAAGAAAAAAGGAGGGGGCTCTCTAAGGAGCCTCGAGGTTGGGAGTGAGATGAATAGAAGTGGAGGGGGTCTTCAAAAGGGTGTGAGAGAAGGGGGAAGGAGCAGGGGATGGTCTCAGAAAATGGGAGAATTAAAGACTGTCTAGAAAGGTCGAAATGAGCCTTGGGTGGAAGAGGCAATGTCCAGAAGAACAGTCCATACAAACTGGCACTTGGGTGCCCACAATTTTTTAAGAAGGGTGTATATTTTTGGGTGTGTGCAATATTCTTAAATATGACAAAAGCAAGGAAGAGATTATGGTGGGGAGCATGCAGTGTGAAGAGGGGGCCCTGGGACAGAGAAGGCTCCGGACGGTGAAGAAGGCCCTTACTGAAACGCCTGCAAATGTGGACGTAGATGGAGAAATGAGGAGCCTGGGAGACGGATGGGACTCGAAGCCCCAACATGCAACAAGAAAGCGGAGGGGGCAGTCAGGAAGGTCTTGAGAGATGAGCAGAGGGGAGGCCCTCTAGGCCGGCGGGAGGGCTCTCTGAAGGGCAGGAAAAAGGCTGATAGTCCCTAACCCCAAAGCGCAATAAGGGAAAGCCTAGGAGAGAGACGAGGTCAGGCCGGGCCAGGCCGATGGTCACCTTGATCGGGGCCATGGCTGCAGCGACTCTGCTGAAACTGCGTGTTCTCCCAGCTGTCCACCTTCCTGCGGCGCGGGGCTGCCGTCTCGCGCTCACGGGTGCTGCAGACTCGAGGGCAGCCGCCGCACTAAGTGCCCAGCCGGTTCTCCAGCCCACCACTCGTAGCCCCGCCAGCCCCATGCCCGCCCGGGGGCTGCAACCCACAGCTTCAGCCCTTCCCCCAGAGGCGGGGTCCGCGGCGAGCGAATGGCCTGCCCTGCGGGGGGCGGCCCTCCACTGGGCGGGGGGTGGGGCTTCTGCGTGGTTGTTTGCATAGTGGGAGGGGAAAAGCGCCCAGGGGGCAGGGCTTCGGCAACGCTGCAGCCTATGCCCGCGAAGGCGGGGTCCCGCTCTTGCGTGTGTGGGTCCAGTTTATCGGTGGGAACAGTGATTCCACCATTCACGAGGACAAGGGCGGCAAGGGGTGGTCCAGGGACGGACATTTGTTCGCATTCAACTCGGGACCCCCTGCATTGCACCTGTCTCACACGTGACCTGCGTTCTAGGACCGGGGAAACTGGTCTCCCCGACACAACACGCCCGGAAGGGGTGGTGCGTGGTACTACCGGTTTCCTACAGGCCCTTGGCCCGGGCGTCACTTCCGGTCTCGCGGCTGTCCAATCCGCTGGCTCAGGGCGGTCCCGGAAGTGACGCACTCGCGCGCCTGCCTCCTTCCTGTGGCTCCAGTCTGGCTGGAGCTCCGGTGGCAACATGAAGCTTCTGACGCACAATTTGCTGAGCTCGCACGTGCGGGGGGTGGGGCCCCGCGGCTTCCCCCTGCGGCTGCAGGTACCTCTCCTCCTTCTGGACGGGATGGGGACCCTGGTCTGCCCCTGTATTAAGCTCTCTCCCGCCCACAGGCCACCGAGGTCCGTGTCAACCCGGTGGAGTTCAACCCGGACTTCGTAGCGCGGATGATACCCAAGGTGGAGTGGGCGGCGCTTCTGGAGGCGGCCGAGACTGTGAGGACCTTCGCCCCTGATCGCCCGGGGGTGCTTGCCTTGTTGCCCCGGGGAGCAGGTTCCATACCGAGGGGGAGAATCGGGCATGCCCAGAACTGATTTTGACCTCTTGCTTACAGTTGCATCTGGTCGAGGTCCCCAAAGGGCCAACTGAGGGATATGAGCACGATGAGGCTTTCTTAAGGAAGATGCACCACGTGCTGCTGGAGGTAAGATGGGGGCCCCTCCCTCCCTGCTTCCCAGCACTCCCTCTCCCAGGCCGCCAGCGCTCAGCTGTCCCCCCCTTTCCCGCAGGTGGACGTATTAGAGGGCACCCTGCAGTGCCCAGAGTCCGGGCGTCTCTTCCCCATCAGCCGCGGGATCCCCAACATGCTGCTAAACGACGAGGAAACCGAGACTTAGTCTTTTTGTTGTAACTGTGTTTGTCCATTCTCTGTTGGTCTTGTCTTCAGCCCTGCACCCAGTGACACACCAAACGCATTGTTCTTGAGCTCCATAGTATATATATATTTTTTTTTCTCATTAAAGGTTCAAAACCAAAAGCGGTTTCTCTTTGCAGCAAATATACATTAAAATAGAGTCTCTTTACAGCCAAAGGCTCTGGGCCCCGGCTTGCCCCATGTCCCTGCGCCTCCCTGGCCAAACCCAAAAATAAATATAGTGTTATTGCTCTGCAGGGCATAGAGGCAGTGCTCTTCCTGCCCCCCGAGGAGGCTGGGTGGGGGCTAGTAGGGGACTCTGGCCACCCCAGGGGTCCAGGGGCTGGAGCCTGCTTGGAGTTATTGCTTCAAGGGGGGGGGAGGGCAGTAATGCCCAATGCGAATGATGAGAGGAGCGAAGGGGCAGGGGCCTTTGCTTTCCAAGCCCCCCTCTGCTTTGGAGAGGGGTCGGATTAAGCAGCAGCAAAAGCATCACCATTGGGAGACAATAGCCTCCACCCCCTTCCCTCCCTGAGATCAGGCTTCTGCCCCACACACACCCCCTGCAGTCCCCTATGGCTTCCGCAAGGCCCCTCCACTCTGGGGGCACGTTATGGCTTGCAAGGGGCAGCACAGTACCCAAAACCTGGGCACACATGTTCCCAGCTTCTGACACCCTCCTTGGGGAGGGGAGGACTTGGGGCCTGCTCCCAGAGGCTGATGGCATTGCCTTGGCCCTGCCAGCAGGCTGTGGCACTGCCCAGACCCCAGCTCTGCCCCCTTGGGGCTGACCCCATGCTGGCAGGCCCTGCCAGCACCCCACCCCTGCCTCAGTCCATCATGGCCTCAAGCATCTCCAAGAACAGCTTGTGCATGGGCACCTTGCCCTCCAGCTTCACCCCATAGAAATGGGCCAGCACTTTGCCTGCTGTCTGCCGGAGGAGTGGCAGTGTGAGCAGCAGCCTGCCCGCCCGCCGTCGCTCGGCACCCCCTCCCGGGCCCGCCCGGCCGGCTTCGTACTCCAGCAAGGCCTCGTGCAGGGCCTCCCGCAGCTGCTCCACAGCCTCGGCATCCTCAATGTGGACCGAGTCTGTAGGGAAACGAGAACCGGTGACCTGGTCCATCCCAGGAAAGGAAAGGACCCCATCTACTTAGCGTAAAAGACTCCCATCACGAGCCAGGAGCCTCCCTTTCCCTGTGAACACAGCCTAGTTTCTAGCCCACCTTAGGCTTGCTGTTTGACCTTTAATTCATTGTTCTTCTTTGAGCCCCAGTTTTCCTGATCTATGAAATGGAACAGTGTGTTGCCATCACACTGTTGAAAGCTGTAACTGCAAACCTACTACTAAGGAGACTGTAAATCTTTATGGGAGGAGACTGACCATAATTTCTGCAGAACACCTGCTGGATTCGAACCTCTGACCTTTTGGTTAGCAGCCTAACACAACACTGCACCAACAGGACTTAGCTGGAGGCCCACCCCAGGCTCACCTGAGTTGGCCAGAGCCAGGGCCTTCAGCAGAACATACTCTTCTCGCTCTAGTCGCAGGGCCTGTAGTCGCCGCACCAGCTGCAGTAGGGCAGCCCCCAGCTCCCCCAGGCCAGCTGCCCGTGCCCCCTCTTCATCCAGGACCAGGTCCTCAGCGAAAGCCAGTTCATCCTGCAGTGGTAGTGAGCGCTGGGCCACACCCAGCACCAACACCTCCATCCATACGCTCTGTAGTACTGACATCTGGTCAGACAGTGACAGCGACGAGAAGCCTGGAGGGAGGGCAGTGGCCAGTGTCCATGAGCAACGCAGAGCCAGGCAGGACGCGAGCCACCCAGCATGCTCCTACCACATGGCCCTTTACCTGGGATGCTCTTGGCCCAGCTGATAGTGACCACAATCTCTCGGTCAAAGAGGTCACAGAGGGTGGCTACTGCTGGCAGGTGTCCATCGGGGCCCGCTGGGTCAGGCATGGCATACAGTTTCTCAGGCTCAACCACCAGCAAGTGGGACACCAGTGCATTCACCGGGGCTGCAGGGACAGGCAGGGACGACTCAGGGCCACTCAAGTTCCCCAGGCCCCTTGGGTCAAGCGGGTTTCCTTGATGGCTGCTGACCAGCCAGGCGGAGACACCGCTTCGAAAAAAGCCAAGCTGAGTTATCAGGAAACAGCTCCTGAGCCTGGTGGTCCTGCGATTCCTGCAGGAGCTCATGTCCATGAACGTTCTTGGAGAGTTAAGAGCTGAGGTCAGCGCTCAGGGCTCCACCCTGGCCCTGCATGCTCACCTGTCTTCCGGGGACCTCCTGCTACTGGCAGAGGGCCCGCAGGGAAGGAGCCTGGGAAGGACAGTGGGTCCACTTCTGGTCTCCGCTTGTACTTCTGTCGTCCACCCCGGACACGGTCCAGACGCACCCCTTGGATTGAAGGACGATGGGACTCAGTCGGCAGGCTGCCCTAGACAAGCCCCCTAGCAGGCCCCATCTCCCTAGTCTCGCGGACCACCTCCCTGCCCACCCACCTGCCCTCCAGCCCCCCTGGCTCTGCCCTGCCCGTGCTCACCCTCCTTGAGCATGCCCACCCGCAGGCACTTGGTGAAGCGGCAGGCCTGGCAGGCTTTGCGCCTCCGCTTGGTGATCTCGCACTCGTTGGAGGCCGGACAGCTGTACTCGATGCTCCCTGCCGAGAAGAGGCAGGGCTCCAGTGGGGGCCTCGCAGGGCCCGGAGGGGGTCCCTGCGGACAGGAGAGCCCTGACCGGCCCCAGGCAAGCACAGGTCTGGGGTGTGGGGAGGAAAGGGAGAGCAGGAGCTCCGTGAGAGGGGGGGAAGCCACTGGGCTGGGGGGGGTGTCGGCCTGCGCCTCTGCCCGCACTACAGCCCTGGGCCGTTCAGCCCTCATCTGCTCTCAAGGGCCCCAGGGACCTCCAGAGAGCTAACTCCAAGGGTCACTCTCAGTCCCATCTTAGCCTAAATCACCAGTCTACACAGCTGATCCCTTTGACTCCTCAAAGTGCTTTAGCACATTCTTTTGCTTCTAGAAGACCACACTCCAAGCCTTCCTCCCACCCCACTGGCTGCCTTGTGGTCTCTGCATCTCCTGGCCAACTTCCGGTGGAAATCCCCAGGCCCTGCCCTCGGACCTCTTCCCCACTCGGTGGTGCCTCGGCCAGGCTTTCAGATGTCAGTGTCTAGCCCAGACCTGTCCTGAACTCTGCATTCACACCCAGCCCCAACACTGTGAATGTCTGGACAGCAGCCTGCATCTCACATGCGCTAAGTGGAACAGCTCCTGATCGGCCCACTACAGACAGCAACCCATAAGTCCTGGTGGGCTTTACCTCCAAGCATGTCCAGGATCTGTCCCCAGCCCCCGGCATAGGGCACTGTCTCCTCCCTTATTTGCTCACCTTGCTCCCTTCAGTCTGTGCTTACCACAGCAGCTCGAGGCAACACAGCACACCTGGCCAGCCCATCTCTTCACTTCCCTTCTGGCAGGTGAAGCCAGCGAACCCAGTAAACTGGAGGCCTGCCTCCTTCTCCTTGTCACCCGTGCACCTGCTTCTCACACGGGCCCTGCTGGCCTCCTGCCCACTGGCTAAATGCTCTTAAAAGATTCAAGTATTTTGTTGAGCTGTCCTCCTTGGAAGACCTTCCCTGTCCACTCTGCAAGAATGGCAGATCCTTTCTGCAGACACCTGTCGTGTTTACCCACACCATCAGTTTCTCCTCAGCTCTGTGGTTCGGTGCCATGGAGTGGCTCCTCCCACAGTAATTGGAAAGCCCCCCTGATCCTGTGCCATCCTCAGAATCTCTACTTGTATTTAAGCCCATTGTTGAGCCACTATGTCTGTCCCTCTCGTTGAGGGTCTTCCTCTTTTTTCCTCAACCCTCTACTTTCCAGGCATATTACCTTCTCTCCAGGATTGGCCTATCCTGATAATATGTGAAACCAAGTCTCACCACCCTCCCTTCAGTGGAACATTCTGGCTACATTCTTCCCAAGACAAGCTCGTCTACTCTTTTGGCAGTCCATGGTATATTCATTATTTTTCACCAACATAATTCAGAGGCATCAGTTCTTCAGTTTTCCTTATTCATTATCCAACATTAATGTGCATGGGAAGCAATTGAAAATACCATATCTTGGGTCAGGTGCACCTTAGTCTTTAACCTGACATCCTTTCTCACTAGCACTTTATAAAGTGGTTCTTGGCAGATAAGACCACTGTAATACATGGTTTCTATCTTGACTGCTGCTTCCACTATTGTTGGTTGTGGATAAAAGCTCTCAGCATCATCTAATATGAAGTATAGTGTGCTTACTTATTTTTTGATCTCCCACATTTGTGTTGGCTCCCTGAGGGCCAGAGGGCCAAGATGGTCCCCAGTGCTAGGAACAGGGCCTGCCTGGCACATAGTTGATGGTGGTGGCTGCTATCACGTCAATCCCAGACTCAAGACGCCTCCATGTTTAACGGGACAGAATCCTGCCTGTGCCTGTACCATCTCCAGGATGAGCATAGACTGGCCAGTCGTATAGATTTCTCTCACTAGCTAATTTTGACAACCAAGACTTTCTTCCTAATATTCTGGTAGCACCACTGACACGTGCTCAACCTCATAGCAGCACACAAACCCGTCTGACAGGCAAGTGACCACTGTGCGTGATATGCACAGGAAAGGAACAATGAAGGTGTCCCATGTGGAAGCCAAGAACCACACCACTGAGCCCCCACCATCTCCTGGCCCACTGTAGGTGCTCATTTTTACTGGTGTCCCTCCCAGCCGGCATGAATGTCCCAGGGATCAAATGACATAACTGGCCATTATGTCAGGCTGAGCTTTCTCCTATATCCTCCTCGGGCTTCGAGGCTCAGCTCCTCCTCCAGGTAGCCCTCCAGAATGTGGACCCAGCAGGTTCCTCAGCACACATCCTACACCTCCCCAGCACTGGCCTCAGCTGTGATAGAGCAGTTTGTACAATTTCCTATCCCTCCTCTCTGCTAGAATACAAACTGCTTCAGGGCTGGGGCAGTCCAGCCTTGGTCCCAGCCATGACCCCATGCCAGGGCAGTGGCCAGAGAAGCAAAGCACAGATCTGTGCTAAAGGCTGCCTGGAATCCATCCTAAGGAGGACTGATGGCACCGGGCTGCTAACCAAAAGGTCAGTGGTTCAAACCTACTGTTGGTCTCCACTGGAGAACAATGAAACAGTCGCTTCCCTAAAGATTTGCAGCTTTGGTAACCCTGTGGGGCAATTCTGCAGTGTCCTGCACGGTTGTTCTCAAAAGGAACTGATTGAGCAGCAGAGGGTTGGGTCAATCTTGACATGACCACTTACCACCTGTGGGGCCTTGGCTCAGTTCCATATCCAGCCTGCGGTTACCCATCTCACTACAAAGGTGGGTTGTGAGAATTAAAGGAATTATGAGTACAAGGGGTAGCCTGGAGCACAGCACCAAGCACTCAATAAATGTTCACTGCTACTCACAGCTGGGGTTCAGTAAGTATTTCTCAAAACAAGTGAACAGAAAGCAAAAGGTCTCAGTGGGAAGGAGGAGGGGGGGGAAACACCTGAACCAGGTTTGATGGCTCCCTGATCTTCAGAACCGGAAGGGAGTCCAGAGGATTGTAGAACTGTTTAGATAGTGGATCGGGGCCAAGTCAAAACTCACTGGAATGTCACAGTCAGTCACCATCAGACATAAGGTGTCTGTCCAGAGTTCAGTTATTAGTGATAGAGGCAGCTATCTGCTGGCTAAAAGCTCAGCTCTGGACCTAAATCAATCCAAGTTCAAATTCAGGTTCCAGCATATTTCACGTGGTATGATTTGAATAAATTCCCTTTGCCTTTTGTCCTCAAAAAAAGAACCTCCCAGAGTCTCAGTTGCCTCATTCTATAAAATCCCATGACACATATACAGGTTCTGTGAAGGCTGACATCAGAAAACAGATAGGTGCCACTCGTCCCAAAGGACCAACGGTTAGACTAAACCCTTACTAAGCCCTTAGGTACAGACACATTCCATGTAACTATTCTGTTAGCATCTTTGATGTTTTCTAAAGTGGAAAAAAATCAGTGACTCCTAAGTCTTTTCTCAAGTTGGCTGTTGAACTACATGTAGCCTCCCTCAATCATTCATAAAAAGTGGTCTCATGTAGCTGCTTCTCAGGGAAATCAAAGAAAAGGGGGTACACTCTGTGCTGATGAGGTGAGCAACTTCCAGGAGCAAGAAGCAAAGTGAGGAGCAGGTTGAGCCTAATTTGAAATTTTCAGAGCCACTGTGGACCCAGAGGTATCTGTGCTTCCTGTCACACTCAAAATCCACTCCAACACTCCTGCTGGATGACTTTAAAAGTTCAGGAAAAGGATGCTCCCGGGAGGTGGCAGGGCCTGGGAACAGGAGACTGCAGATTTCAAATGGTACCATGACAGTCTGAGGGCCATGGCACTCAGCAGTCCACCATGTGGGTGGATGGCTGGAGGCCTTGAAGGTATAGGGCACAGGAGTGGGGTGGGGGCTCACCCTGGATGGTCCTCTTGAAGAAGGCTTTGCAAGCCTCACAGGATGCCACGCCATAGTGGTAGCCAGACGCCACGTCCCCACAGACCAGGCAGAGGCGCTTGGGCAGGGAGCTGAGCACCAGCTTCCCACCGCCCTGCTCACCAGGCCCAGCCCCCTCCCCATCTTCCTCCTCCTTGTGGCCTGGGAGGCAGCGGCTGGGAGCTGGACCAGGAGCCAAGGCCACTGGGGGCTCAGGCTCCGTCTCTGAGGAGCCCTTTGGGCTGTCGGGGCTGGCTGGCTCTGCTTTGATGTAGAGAGGCTCAATGCCCACGACCTGGCTGGACATGGCGCTGGTCACCTGCAAAGAGACACCCGTCATGTCCGGGGAGGCACAGGAATGGGGGATGGGAAAGAAAGACACCCTGCCACCAGGTTGCCCAACCCTGGGCCCAGGGCCAGGCTACCAGGCTCAGCGAGGGGGGAGAAGGGACAGAGTCCAAGGAAGGGCTGCCCTGAAGAGGGGCCTCCCCAGCTGTTGCCATGGTAACGGAGTCTCCAGGCCAGCGACTGACAGTTACATTTCTCATTGGAGATGGTGCTTGGAAAGCCCCAACTTGGGTCATCCTTTGGAGTAACTACAGATTCTGACCACCTTCCACTCCTCTGGAACCAGGGGAGGTCCCCCCATCAGAAGCAGGATCCCTCCTAATTTTCTTCAGATAAGGGGGCCTTTGTGGTCCACCCCTCACCTGGGTGTCCTCTATTCAGGAGAGCAGAGGGCAGCAGACACCTCGGACAGCATGTTCACCCCCCTTGCCTGCTGGCCCCCACCTGTCCCCCAGAGGCTCACATGTGCTGACTCTCCTGGAGACCCACCTGGACTAGCCCCTCCTTCCCAAGCCCCCTGCTCTCCCGCTCATTAGACTTCACTTTCCTCCCCAAGTGCGCATATGTAAACACACACTCACACTCAAGGTTCGGGAGCACACTCTGGAGCCCACGATGTCCCCATGCACGCCAGCAGAGAGCGGTGCAGACACAGCAGGGCCTTTTCCACCTGCCACCCCCGCGGGCGCATCTGCACCCCGCTGCACTCACGCCTCACTCCTGCCGCAGAGCCCGCACCCCGCCTGCCCCCCTAAACCTGTGCACACCTGCGGGAAGTTGCCTAAAGTTGCTAGGCCTGCGGGGGACCTCTATCAGGTTATCAGGAAGTAAATGGGAGAGTGGAGGAGGAGGAAGTTCTCCCCTGCGGTGTGATGACCTTTGACCCACAGAACAGGGTGGCCCAAGGCCCCTTCGAGCGCCCCCACGTGGTCCCCAAAGCCCCTCTCGCGGCAGAGAACACTCCTCATATGCCACCCTAAGCCGCCCCTGGGACTTCGGCCGGTTCCGCGTGCCGGTTTGAGCCCTGCAGGGCAGCTGAACCCCAGGCCCCAGCTTGAGCAGGGCCGGACCCTAATATCCAGACCGGTCCACCAGAACCCAGCCCCCGGACCCTGCCCGGAATCCCAGCCCCCGAAATCCCCTGATAAAGTCGGCCCCGTGACCCCCGGCTGGCCGAAGCCCCAGCCCTGCACCCGCCCCGCCCCCGCCCTCCGTTGAGCTCGCACATGGCCCCGCGCCCCGCCCGCCCCCGGCGGCGCAACCCCTCCGCCCCCAGACCTGGGGCTCCGGCAGGGCGGACGGGCAGGCATGAGGGCCGTGCGGCCCGGAGCACCGGGGTGAGCCGGAGGCCGCGGGCAGCCCCTCCTCCTCCGTCTCCTCGGGCCGCGCCGGCCCGCCGCACCGCGTCCCCTACTCGGCGGCGCCGCCGGCGGCTTGTAGGACACAAAAGGACATCGCGGCCGCTTCCTACTCCGCTTCCTCCAGCTGACAGCGGGGGCGGAGCTAGCCGTGCGCATGCAAAACAGGGGGCGGGGACTGGCGCCCTATGCTAATGAGGCTAAATGGGGCGGGCAGCGCCTGCGTGCCCAGACGCGTTTGGGCGGAGCCGGTAAAACCGGCGGGCGGGCTCTCATGAAGGTCGTGCCCAGCCGCCGCCGAGCCTCAGAGGTGCACATGCGTACGCGACAGCCCGGGGGGCGGGGCAAGGGAGACGCGGAGCTGCGCAGGGAATGAGTCGCGAGGGGGTGTGGCTAGTGGCGCCTTTACGTAACGGAGGAGGCGGGGCGCCCTGTGCGCGAGAAAAGCGGGCGAGGCCGCTCAGTCCGTGGCCGCTCTGCAGGGAAGGCCGCTTATATACATATGTAAATGAGAAGGCGTATCTGCATATACATGAGGATCGGAGCCTCACAAGAGCTCCAGTGAGAGGGAGGTGCTGCCCCTTTCCCTTTCCCCCTCCTCCAAGATAATACCTTCGGGGCACTGGACCCCCGATCTAGTACCCCACAAGTCTGCAGATGAGGGTGGGGGACTCAAACCTAAAAACAGCAAGAAACCCTGGATTTTGAGTCCCGGGAAGGCGAGGCTAGGGCCCGGACGTGGAAGGCTCAAGGTCACTGCGGTGACCGTGTGAAGGTCATGGAGAAGGGCGGGGCCCCAAGCGCCCGCCTCACGTGAGCGGCCACTCACTGACTCACGAACTATATGCATCGACTCTTTATTTCTCTCAGATTCCACGCGGGCAAGGACGGGCTTGGGTCTGGGGAGGGGACAGGGACTGGGGGCTGGCGTGAGGTGACCGCTCGAGCCTGCAGGAGGTGCTCTCATTTCTGTACGACATGCAGCCTCTTGTTGCGGCGTTTCCGGAGCGCCTCGATGTTTCGCTGGAGCTGCTTGGTCAGGAAGTGGTTCCAGCCGATCCCGGTCTGATAGCCTAGGAGGAAGGCAGGGCAGGGCAGGGCAGCCAGCAAGAAGGTGGGCCACGCTGCTTCAGGTGTGATTGGAGAAACTGCGGTGATGGGGCGCGGGGGCCGGGGCAGGGGCGCAGGACGCTCGGGTTTCTCTTAGCTTAGGGAACTCTCCCAGGCCCTGGGACACTTGCAGCGGTTGGTGTGTTTTCAATGGACAAGTCTTAGACTGGTGCTCCAAATAGAGAGGGGGGAGGGGCAGAAGGTGTGAAGGTGGAGGGCAAGGTTACCGAAGGCATTGCCTGGCTGGCAACTCTGTGGATGATTCTGAACCTCCCACTCTGAACTGACCCTTTCTCCTCCTTGGACATTATTAATATCACAATCAGGGCAAGCCAGGAAAGGTTTACCCAAATGACCCTTCTTCAGAGGCTCCTTACGGAACCCAGGGGTACCCCAGCCACACAAAAAGCCTGTCTTCCCAACAGGTCTGGAAAGATACAGCCTCAGAGAAGCCCCATCAGCTAGAGAACTGCACTAGGGCTGGCCTCAAGGTCAAATGGTCACCCCACTGGGTTTCCTAGTACCAGATTCATAACATTTTTACTTCTTTTGGAGTGGGAGCTGGAATATCTTTGAGGGGTCAACTCACTCTGGAGGGCCTTGGTGAGGATTTCTAGAGCTTCGTTCTCCATGACTTCTATCAGGGGTAGTGGCAGCTGAAGAGGAGGCAGCAAAAGGCTGAGGGTCCCATTACTCCCTCCAGACCCCCAGCCACTCTGACCTACCCCTCCAGCCTGCAAATCACCACCATCATCCCTGCAACCCCTAACTTGTCCCATTCATCACCCACCACAACCCCCAGTCTCCCAGGACCCCACCTACCCTGCTTTGCTGCTCAGCCCAGTAGGCACGATGAGGTTTTAGCTGCAAGAATGATGATGAGGAGGAGGGAATCTTTTCTGGAAGAGAAAAGAGCGAAGGCTTAGTTAGCTACAGCCAGCCAGATCTTCCCTAGAACAGAGAGGTATGGCTGACTTGGGAGGGGCATCCTATAGCAACAAGCTGCCAGTTTCTATCTTAGTTACAAGAAGCATGTTGCTTGCTGATTGCGCCTTCAAGCCGAGTACAGCTAATAGCAACCCTATGAACACAAGGCCTGAAGCTCTTCTACAACTATCCACATTCATCAACGTTCATAGAGTTTCCAGAGCCATGTTGGTTAGGAAGCAGCGTGAGACTGGGTAACAATCCCAGGTTGTAGAGCCCCACCCCAATTTCCATTCTGACAGCCCCACTAGGAGACCCAGTAACTGGACCTTTCTATCCTCAATTGCTTTAGCTGTAAAATGGGGTTACGACAGTGCCCCCTTGTGGAATTTGTGATACCTCAGAATCCTGGCAGCAGCTGGTATTATATATTGTTGACTTGGGACAGACTCATAGCTGACCCTCCAGTGGGTTTGCAGAGGCAGTTTAATCACACAGAAGGAGATTACCCATCCCATTCTCACAAAGCAGCTGGCAGATCCGAACTGTGTGTCTTTGAGTTGGCAGCAGTGCCATTCCTTATCACTGGAGTGTGTCCAGAGATTATGAAGATGGCATAAGATAGGTAGGCCAGGGTTCAGATCTGTTGTTCATAGGGTCGCTATAAGTGATGCACTAATTCTACTCTGGGTGCAGTCATCCCAGAAGATGGTGTCTGATGCCCTTGTCAATGAGGTGGTATAGCACTGGTCTGTGCCTTGCCGTACAGAGGTAACTCATGGTTGCTGTGATGCTGAACCTTGTGACACTGATGTGCCAAATGTGATAATGGTTATCCATGGTGGACAGTGTTTTGCTGGAGCTTCCCAATTAAAACAAGTCTGGAAGCAGGAGTGGCATCCACTTCCGAAATGGCTTGCCTCTGTAAACTCTATGAACAGTGCTCAGGCCGTTCATTCATAGGGTCGCTCTGAGTCGTCTACGACTAGACGGCACCTAACAACAACATGAGTCATACTGGACTCAAAGGCACCTGACAACAAGGGAACTCTGGTAACCTAGTGTTAAGAAGCTGCACTGAGATCCCAAAGGTGGTTCAAATCCACCAGCTGCTCTGAGGGAGAAGGATGGGTCATTTCCTCCCATGCAATTTACTCTGCAAACCTGCTACAGGGTCAGCTTGGGTCAGTTAAGACTCAATGGCACACAGCAACAACAGGCTGCCAGAGCTCCCTGTAGCAGCCTGGCTGCCCCTAAAGGTTGAACCTAGTGCTGCTTGACACGTGGTGCTCCGTGTTTACAGCCTTGGAAACACGTGGAGAGGTTCTGTTCTGGCCTGCAGGGTCACTATGAGTAGAAACTGACTCTATACCAGTGGGTTTGCGCTTTTCTGCTTTGAATTGTTCTCATGTCCAGGAAGCCTGGCATATGGCAAGCGCGCTACGGCAGTCATCAGATTGTCACTTTCAATTCCGTGTTAAAGCAGAAGGAGGCAGGAGCTGCTCCACTACATACAGTGCACAGCACAACTGAATGGACGGCACCTCACCCAGCGCCACCCACAGGCAGAACTAGCTCCCTCTCAGGAGTTCTGGGGCCTTAGAGGTAAGGAGTTACCCTGCCAACCCAAAGGCACGTGGTTCAGATCCTGTAGCTGCTCTGCGAGAGAAAGATGGGTAATCTCCTCCCGTGGGAAAACCCACTGGAAGGTCATGGATGAGTCAATTCCGACTAGATGGTACACAACCACCACTGAAACTGGGCCAGTGATTTCATTAAAAACGCTCTTCCTGGCCTTTGGGCATTTGGGTGCATGGCGCTCAGACGAGCCTGGTATCAAGCCTTCCCGGTAGCGGACGCTCCAGGATATCCGGCTGACTTAGAGGATGAAGTGTTGGCACTGGCGTCCCCTCCCCAGAAGCCTGGAAACCTGGAAACTAACAGCCACTTTACAACATGGGCAAATGAGAACCTGGTTGGCCCCCTACCCTACCGGAGCCCACGACCCAGCAAAGTCACACTGACCAGACTCCTCTTCGCTCTTTAAGTCCTTGTCATCGTCGTCATTGTCGTCTTCTAAAGGGCTCATGCAGCTGCGCTGCAGCTCCAGCTGCATCAAGGTGCGCTCGTCCATCCCGTGCTTGAAGTTTTTGTCACCGGGCAGAGAGACGTGCATCTTCCTCCACTCCCAGCCGCGGATGACCGAGTCAACCATGGTGCCACTCCTCCGGTGACCGATGTTGCCGTACTCCGTGTCCGAGTACTTCGTGGCTTCGAGCACGTCCACATGCGGCTGGGACAGCGTGGCCGTGGTCCACAGCTCGCGGATGTCCTGATCCTGGTCCGACACTTCGGAGTCGTATGTTACCTGCGTGTCACACAATGAGGGGAGCGGAGGGGGGCCGGGAGTCAGCCCGCTGCGGGCCAGGATCCCTTGCCAGGCCAGGGTGGCGGCTCCATCAGGCATGGGGCGAGTAGCAGGTGGGGCAGCCTCAGGCCTGACTGGGCCCAGGGGCTGGCGGGGTCGGAGACTCAGGGATCTGCTAGGGGACCAATGCTTCTGGAAGAAGCTGCGCGCGGCCGCTGGAAGAGCTCTCACTTTAGACAACTTTTTCTCCATGTTTCTGCCCCTCAACGGACGCAGCCGCCACAAGGCCTGGGGCCGGAGGGGGGAGGAGCGGGGTTCTCGTTCCAAACGACTGTTGGGGGACTCGCGCTGGGCTGGCTCAGCAGACAGCCCTCCTCTCTCTCACTCCACCCCCAAGTCTGTGCTGAGGTTGGAGCCACCTGGGCCGTCTTGACAGACCCTCGCGCCAGGTCCCGCCCCAAAGCCCCCAAAGCAGTGCACAGCAAAGGGGGCCTGGGCGTGACCAACGTGTCACTGGCCCAGGGTCGCTGGAGGACTGCTGTGTCCTGCAGGCGGTCCCAGCCAACATGCCCACCCCACTCGTCCCGGGAGCGCGCGCGCCCGCAGCGGTGCACAGCGTTGGTGCACAACGTTTTCATTTATTGATCCAGGCTTTGGAGGCACAGTCGTGAGGTGTCGTGAGGGGCAGGCCCCGCAGGGCAGCAACACAGAAAAGCCTTGGGGTTTGGAGGTGAAGGGTGGGGGGCCGAAAGGAGTCGGTGGTGGTGGACAGGCAGCCCGTGGCCTCCTCCCCGGGTCTCAGTCCCGTTGAGAAGCGGGCTCTTTGGTCAAACAAGCTGGCCATGCCGGGGAGCGCGTGGGAAGAAAGCCCTTTGGGAAGCCGGCCGGGGAGCCTGTCCTACGCGGGCTCGCCTTTGTCGCGCGGGTGCCGCGGCCCCCGGGGCCGCGCTGGCTTCCTCGGGGGGTTAGGGCGGCGGCGGCCCCGGGTTGCACGGCCCAGTGCGCAGCCGTGCTCGCTCTGCGTGTCCGAGGATTCGTCAATGAAGGCCAGGTTCTCGCTGGGGTAGTCCAGGGCGGAGCCGGTGGGCGGGGAGGGCGGCTCCACTTTCTCCACCTTCTCTGGGGGCGAAGGTGGTTTCTGGATGGCAGGCGGCGGCGGCGCTGGGGCTGGCGGCGGAGGCAAGAGCGGCCGCTCTTTCTCCGGAGGCGGCACCGCGGGCCCGGCTCTCTGGGTCACCCGCGCCGTCACCGTGCCTGTCCAGCTGGCAGCCTGCGCTGTCAGACCGCCCATCTGCGCGGAGAGGAAAGGAGACTTCCAGTGTTTGCCAATCACTTATCATCAGTCTTTTCTCTAAACTGTACCTGCACCCTCTTCTCCCCTTTCAGCACCTGCTACCCTCCTTCTCAAGGAAATTTCTGGAAACCCTTAATTTTATCTCAGTTCTTTCTCTCGGTGCGCCTCTGTCTGGCTCAACCACTGTGTGCTGAGGGCTCCAACATACAGGAGAGTTAGAGGAGCATTTCTGAGAAGCAACAAATAAAATTAAATTCTTGGTATGCCCCATGAACCATTTGGGATCTACTTATACTAAAATACTATTACTTATGTCCTTGAAATGAGCAATCAGCTGGATTTTTCATTTGCTTAAATCTGGCAAGCTATCTGAGAGGGCCACCCGCAAACTTGTGAGTTTATCTCACAGCCCCTCTGGGAGCCCTGAGAAGGAGACAGGATGCACAGTTAGTTGATGGGGGACGTGTGTGTCCCCCCCCCCCCCCCCGCGAGCCAGGCGCCTACCTCGGCTCGCGTGCGGCGGGACACCACTCGCAGCCAGTTTCCGATGGTGGTTAGCACCGAGGCGAAGTAGGCCAGGCCGAACAGGATCCAGAACCACACCAGCGGCTGGTAGGTTGGCGTGTCCTGCTTGGGGTCGGTGCCTGGGAGACGCCCAGGGAGGGCAGAAAGAACATTACGGTGGGGCCGGTCTCTCACCTGTGAGCAGGAGATCCTTTACCCCTCTCCCCAGCTCTGTGAGCGCACTAGCCCTTCTAGGCGGAAACCGTGATGCACAAAAGGTAAATGTGCAGAAGCTAAAGGTGTGCGAGAAGCGAAGTTCACCCGGAAAAACGCACGGGAGTGCAGGACACTGCAAAGTGAGCTTGATTACAAGAATGTGACATGTGAGCATCTGCGGGGGCTGCAGGAGCGCAAGCAAGAACGGAAGTGCCTCGAAAGAGGCTGCAAGGGTGCAAAAATGCGTGGACGCAGGCCCTGGAGCAATCATGAGTAAACGCAGGAGAGCAAAGTGGGCTTGGGGGGCGAGGCGAGAGTGCAAAGTCCCTCAGTGAGCGAGGGGTGAGCGGGCAGGGCAGGAGGGGCGGCCTCACCCGCCACATAGTCGCCAAAGCCCACGGTGGTGAGCGTCACGATGACGAAGTAGATGGCTTCCAGCTTGCTCCAGCCCTCCACATAGCAGAACACGAACATGGGCGTGAGGACGAAGAGGAGGCAGCCGATCAACAGGAAGAGCACCGCGGACAGCACCCTCACCAGCTCGGGTGGCACGTGCCACTTCTGTGGGGAGGGGCGGTCGGCAGGAGCGAGGAAACACCCACACCCTGCACGCCTGGCAACACTCCCTCCCGCCAGGCTGCGTGCCAGGCTCGTGCGCTGGGGGAGTGGGGGCGCGCTCACGTGCTGGGAAGTAGGGAAAAGGGTCTCCAATGCCCAGCATGGAGCAGCTCACCAAGAAGATGGCTTCGATGTGGCCGATACCGCGACGCAAGGAGGAACCCAGGCGGTCGCCGACCCCCGCCAGCAGGATCCCGAAAAGCGGGATTCCCACCAGCGCGTAAAAGATGCAGAAGAGGCGCCCCGCGTCAGTGCGCAGGGCCGTGTTGCCGTAACCTGGGCAGGGAGCGTGCCGGAAGTCTAGAGGCCTCCTCGCACGCCCTACTTCCTCTCCACCGCATTTTCTCCTTGAAGAAGCCCACCCTTCTCACCCCCTCCATAGGCCCCAGCCCGTCCCGCACCGATGGTGGTGATGATGGTGCCTGAGAAAAAAAAGGCGCTGCCCAAGTTCCAGACCGAGTGGCTGCTGTTGCTGGTTGAGTTGACTTCCGGGTCCGCACCCCCTCCCAGGGCATCCGACACCTCCTGCAGATCAAGGTTAGGAAGGAGAAACTTAAGTCCTCCCTCCTGCCTCCAGGGTGGTCCCCTCCTGTTCTTCCCAGTTCGCCTTTCCTCTCCCTGTCCCTCCCCCCCAGTACAGTCTACCTGCTGCCAAGTGTATTTGACATCCCCAGGGTCTCAGAAGTGTTTGCACTATCTGTCCCCTCATTTCACACAACAGTTTCCGATCTACAGTGCATGGATCAGCCTCCAGGTGTCCTTACTCACTAGCTTTGTGATCTTGAGCAAGGTAACTCTGTTGGTGCATCTATCAACCAGGAGGATGGTAACAGCGCCCACTGTATAGGTTCTTGTGAGGAGATAAGTCATTTACAAGAGAATTGGTCACATGTGTCTGTTAAAGGAGTTTTTATGTGAAATGTTCTGTTATTCCAAGCTTTCCACAGACCTCGCCACTCCCCTATTGCCTCAATTGGAAAGCTGAGTTTGAGTGCTTTGCTTGAGAAAATGAATGAACGTTTGGGACGTCCTCTCCCAGGAACGTCTTAAACACAGCAATCAGATTTTAGAAGGTCCAGAGACACAGATGACTCCAAGTCACTTAAGTTCATGCACTGCATGGCCCTGTGCCATGCAGCAGGTACTCAATCACAAATCCCAAACCCACTGGCATGGTGCCGTGTGACTTTAGGAACAATACAGAACAGAGCAGAACTGCCCCAGAGCATTTGAGAGATGGCAAATCCCTACAGAAGCAGACTGCCTTAACTTTCTCCTCCAGAGTGGTACCTGGGTTCAAACTTTGGACCTTTTGCTCAGCAGTTATACATTTAACCCACTGTGTCACAAGGGCTCCTTACACTAAAAATCAGACTTACTCTCATCAAGTTGATTCGGACTCAATCAACTTCACCTCATATAAGTGAATTCCTAATTATAGCGACGCTCCAGATACAGCAGAATTTCCCCCACAAGGTTTCTGAGACAGGATACCTTTATGGGAGTAGACTTACGGGAGCCTCATCTTTTGCTCATGGAGCAGCTGGTGAGTTTGAACACATCACCCACTCCGCCACCAGGGCCCTTTCTCCATCTTCAGATCCTGGCAAAATGCTCTCTTTCCCCAACGCTCCAGCCTCCACTCTGTGCAGACTTCTACCTTATCCACTTAAAATCATGTTTCCTTCTGAGGGTCAACAGAAAGCTTGGCCTAGACCTCCATTAAAACAGACCTTGGAGGGTTGGCAACGGGACCTTCTCCTTCTCTCAAGAAACAGCTGGTAGGTTTGAACCATTGACCTTTCCACACGCCACCAGGATTCCTTAGGTGATCAATAAACATTACCGAATGAATGGAATGGCTCTTAGAAGTAAGGAGAGGGTACTTTGGACATGTTACCAGGAGGGACCAATCCCTGGAGAAGAACATGAGGAAAAGATGAAGGTGGTCAAGGAGATGGACTGACACTGGGACGGTGACAATGGACAATGAACTCATGCCCAGCAGATTGGGAGGATGGTACCCAATGGGACCTGGTTTCCTTGTGTTGCTCACAGGGTCACTATGACTTGGAACCGGCTAAACAGCACCTAAGACCACCAAGCTCCTAGCCCTAAGAGAAATGTCAGAGAATAATGAGAACAGGTGCCAAGGGCACTCCCCAAGGAGTCCAGAACCGAGATACAAAGACCTGGGACGCAGGTAGGTTCCTAAAACTCCTCTTTTCATCAGCTGCTGTCTTTATTAGTAAAACCTCGTCCTAATCAATCTTCGTACAGCGACTGCTCAGGATCTGCCCTGGCTCCTCATGTCTCGCAGAGTCTAAGCATCAACCCAGCATTCAAGCCCCTTTTCAGTCTGGTCCCAAACCCCCTTTTCTCAGACTTCTCTACTGAGACTCTCACTTGGGACCCCAAGTTTTGGCACCTTACTCCTAGGTTTTCTGAAATTATCTCATTTCCTGTAACAATAATGGTTCAAATAAAGCCACAAAGTGAAAATGGATGATTAAGTGATTTAATTTTTATTTTGCAGAACTTTTCCAGTAAATTTACTGTTGAGGGGAAGAGAGAAAAAAACCGTTGTCATCCTGTGCGTTCCAATTTTTGTTTCACATCACTAGCGTGTGCTAAAGCCAAATCCTGTAAACCCCTCGGATCTGTCCCATCTCCTTGCCTTTGGCCTATGATCTCCCCCACCTGGGAGCCTCTTACTCTGAATGACACATCTCTAAATTCTATCCATCTTACCTGGCTGACTGCCAGCCCCAGCTCTTCCAAAGCCTCCTGGGACCTCCCTTCTTACCCATGGCACCCAGCCCAGGGCCCAGCACACAACAGGCATTCAAGAAAGAAGGCTCTTCCTCAGGCATCCTACCTACAATGACTCATCTGTGTGTCCCCTCTCCTAAGTGTGACAGCCTCCAGGGCCGAGACTGCATTTTCTTCCCCATCCTCATCTGGTCTTCTAGCCCCCCACTACCCAGCACCCAGCAGGGTCCTATCTGCTGCATGATTGACTAGATCAAGGGATGAACTGTACTGTGGAAAAGAACACAGCAGCTGCCCCACACCCCGACTTCTAGCCCTGTCGCTCCCCTTCTTCTTTTATCTTCTCCAGGAAAGAAAGCAATTCAGTGGGTGAAGATAAAATAGGTCAGGCTCCCTCCCCCGCCTCGGCCTGTGGTCTGGCCAGCCACACTCTCTGGGCCTCACTTGAGTGCCAGAGGTGTCAGAAATGACATCAGGCTGCCTGCGTCCTGGTCTCACCCTGCCTTCCTCTGTCCCAGGTCCTGCCACCTTGTGAGGCAGCTGGGACTCTAAGGGTACCTGTCGACGGGCCCTTCCTTCACCAAGAACAGACAGAGTGACTGAGATGCTCCAAAATGAAGCCATGAACTAATTTATTAACGTTAAATCTTAGAGCAACTCAAACCAGAACTGTGAGACATTGATTCCGCCTCACGGTAAACCTAGAAGAACAAAACAGACCTTCTCTGAAACTGCAAATATTCCTAAGAGCAAACTGTCTCATTTTTTCCCTTGGAGTGAAGGGTCAGTTTGAACTGTCAACCTTTAGTCTGGCAGTGAAAAGTTTAACCACTGTGCCACCAGGAGCCCTTTTCTATGTAACACATTATGCATTGCCATCAAGTAGGAACCAACTCACAGCTGAACCTCCAGGGAGTTTCTGAAGCTGTAAATTGCCCAGGAGGAGACTGCTCCTCCCTCCACGTGGCTGGTGCATTCAAACCACCAGAGAGGCGCTCCCTTTGGGGTAGCAGCCTAACTCCCTTTGGACAAGGCTACCAGACCACCCATTCTATGTAACAGTGACTCAGAAATCGAAGAAAGCAACAGAGATGCTTGCCTGACTATATTCCACAAGGCTGATGCCTAGAACTTTCTTTCGCTACAGGACCATGGTTGACTCTGTGCTCCTCCCTGCCTTGGCCTCCAGCTCACCTCCTCAAGGTAAGCATCTGTCCTGGGAGGAAAGGGGTGCTTAGCCTGGCATTCACGCGGCAGGAGCTGCCTTGAGGGGTTTCTGGAACCCTCTGGAACCATCGGTACATGTTTACATGTGCACTTCGCTGGGAGTGGGGGAAGCGTTCACACTGTTCTTCAGTTTCTCTGAGGCATCTGTGACTCGGTAACTGTGGGAGCCAGCAGCAAAGGCTTGCCAGGTTTAGCAAATTAAAACATCGCCTGGGCCATACTTATCCTGAAAAGGATTTGTTGTTTGTCTGAAATTCAAACGGAATGTGTCATCTGGATTTTACCTAGCCACGCTGACTCTAAACCAGTGTTTTTGACCTGAGATTGAAATACACCCTATTGTTACAGCCATTTTCCGAATCCCTTTCTCCCCTCCTCTTGCCTTCCGCCTCCATGCACTAAAGGACATGCCTCGCACACCAGCACAGTGACAGGCACCATCAGGCAAATTTGGCCCACGGCTGCCATACTGAGAACACAGAGGCCACACGGAGTCTCTGCCCCACTCCACACCAGCCGTTCCTTGCTCCCCTCCAGGGAATTGGTTTGGAAGCTGCAACCCACCCAGCACAAGGGTCTCTCTGGCACAGGTGACTGAATGACTGCCAGGCTCTAATCCACCCACGCACCTTGATGAAGTGCCCGAGCTCCTGTTCGCTCACACATGGATGGGCCTTCAGGAACTTCTCTCGGACCTCCCCCAGCTCCCTCTGGGCCTGCTGCTCGTGGGGCTGCTCCAGAGCCTGGAACACCAGGGCACCGGACACCAAGTACAGCAGGACCAGCGCCAGCAGCGCTAGCAGCGTGGTGCTGCGCATGGCGCGCCCAGAGGCAGAGCCACCTCCACTGCCCACCTGCTGGGGCCGAGCAGGGGGCTCCTGGGGAGCTGCGGTCACTGCGGACAGAACCAGGGATACTGGGATCAGTAGCCTGGCCTGACACCCCTATCCCTTCCTCCTCCAGCCCTCACACACCCAAGTCCTCAGAACTCCCAGCCCTACAGCCACCATGCTCCTCCTCATTGTCCTCTAGCTGGGCGCTGGGTCCACCCAGTACTCACTGAAGAGTGTCGCCCATCCACCCTTTACCTCCACTGCCCGGCCCTCAGCCCCCATCCGGGGACTTTAGGAGGTGAAAAGGGAAGAGAAGAGGCCACAGGACAGACAGGCAGGCGAATGGTAGAGAAGAAACTGAGCGTGCAGAGGGGCAGGGCAAGCGAAGACATGCAGGGGTACGGAGGGGGGGAGAGAGAACCGGCAGGTCCAGACCGTCGAGGCGAAGGCAGGGGGGACATGGAGGCGCGCAAAGGCAAAGCGGCCGGAGAGGCCGGCTCGCGCAGGGCGGGGACCGGGGATGGCGAGCCCCGGTGCGTTGGCTGCGACAGCATCTTCACTGTGTCTTCCTCCCCTCCCAGCTCCATACAAGCCGCGTCAGGTCCGCCCCTCCGCGCCCCGCCGGGCTTTCGAGGAACCCAGGGGCGGTCCCGTCGCTGCGCAGAGGGGGAGGTGCTGGGTTCCCGGAATGAGCAGATGGGAGCAACAAGGGCTGGACCCCGGCAGCTCTGGGGCAGCTGGCGGCGGCGCACATGAGACTGGCGGTGGCGCACACGGCGCGTCAGCCGAGCTCCGCCGCCTGCGGGCACAAAGCCTCGCGCGCCCCCGCTGCGCCCTGCGGCTGGCTACAGCCGAGCTGCACACATGCCTTCCCCCTACATGTACAGCACCCCGAGCACCCCCAAACCCTACAGGGTATGCGCCGCGCGGAGCACCCCAAGGTCCGCGCACACGTGTGCACACACGCGCGCACAAACATCAAACCACCGCACAGCGCCCGCCCAGACACGCGTCACGGCGCTCCCGCCGCCTCCCCGCGCGCCCACGCCGACGCCTCCAAGCATGACGAGTCGCGTGGCACGACTCCCCGCGCCCAGCGCGAAGGTGGGCGTCCCGCCCTGCCTGCGCCCGGAGCCCGGCTCGTGCGCCCGCACTCACTGTCGGCCGCGCTGCGGCTGCCGCTGCGGCCCCGGCTCCCGC